TTTTCGAAATATATCGGAACAAAAATTTTTACGGAAAACCAATGAGACTGCAAAACTAGAGTACTTAAAAAGGAAAGCTGGTTGAAAAGAATGATCATTTAGCGCAATCCGATCTGAAAACTATAAAATGTGATGATAGTAAATGAATAAAATGCTACTTGTCGATAGACATCTATTTGTGTATTTACCTATTTTTATCTCGCGATCTTCTTTCAAACGATCAAAAGAAAAATGCCGATGCATTCAAGAACAGACGAAAAAGTCAAAAGGACTAAATGGGAGAGTGCTGCATGCAAACAAACGTGAATATTTAGAAACAATGTCAATCAATAAAGCAGACCAGTAATACAATTTAGCAAAGTCCACACATTCGAATGTGTCTTTCAAAGAAAATATGAACACTTGTTCATTTCGACGATCAAATCAAATTCGGATTTCAAATTCATCAGTTCAATATGGAATGAGACAGTGAAGATCGAAAAGAATCAACAAATAGAAATCGATTGTTTGCTCCTTTTTGGTCACGATCATTTTCTGGATTCGATATATTCGGATTCACCATCATAAACCAAGCCTAATCATAAACGCTTGAGCCACAAAGTACTAAGTCTCGTGTTGCATAATTTTGACAAGAGTAAGCAAAAGGCACCATCAAATATGTCGGAATATTTGGAAGTAAAATTCGGAACTACCGGAAATCTGGTTATACAAACAAAAATAATAACACATCGTCACTATTGACATCCAAACATCGAATATCAAGAGAGATTATGCACTCTTTCGTTTCGTATTTATTTTCGAGACAACCAAAAAGATAAATGACGTAAACCATGAATTATTTTATAGCAGATAGAGCATATTTTATTTCTTTTCACTTCGGACAACTCATCTAAGTTTCTCCATTTATGCATATAATAGCTGAACTGTGTTCGTGGAGCAAAGTGTAGACGTGGTGACTTCTCGAGTGCAAAACAGTATTAATGTTATTGGAAACAATAATCTACTTCCTCTATTGGTGCAAAAAGCTCATACTTATAGTCTATCTTATTAGCGACTTACCGTCATCTACAATTTGTGATTCTAAACACATTTCGTTTATCTTAATACTTCAACCAATAAAATATTTTTCCGTTTCTATAACATGCACATGTACTGTGCTCAAACCCCCAGCGACCGAAGGTAAACAAACCATAATCAATATAAAAGAAGGAAGTTATTAACCTTGGCTTGCAAAGAACGCAAAAAAAAGCAGCGCAAAACTAGTTGATACTAAGACAAGAACACTGAAGAATATAATAATTATATCTCTATTTGCCTAAGTATACGTATTAGAACATAACATTGCTTACTCAACTTGGATTCAATCTGAAATAATCACGTGCAATGGCTGAGATCAAATATGTTCGTCGTAATGTGGAAAGCTTCATACTTGTATGGCTTCATTGTGTGACCGAGGACGAGATGGCAAGAAGATTTATCAATTATCTACGCACAATCGTCAACACCGTAAACTTATTTAATGATATATCTGCATGCATGGATTTTCTCATAACTAACAAAGACGAGCGAGTACTCATCGTTCTATCTAGTTCGTTCGCTGATCAGATTCTATCCATGATACATGATTTTCGACTCGTTCATTCAATCTATATACTCGAAGAGAAGGACAAAGCGTCGACAATAAATTGGAAAAATAATTATCGTAAAGTGAAAGCAATCATTGCTGATATCATGTCTCTCGGTGAATACTTGAACAATGATGTCTTGAGAAAGTACGAGTACGATATGCTTTTAGATGCTTCGTTGAATACAATTCCTGCAGACGTACCTCTGATAAGCACTGCCGAACATATCGACAAGCAAGAAGCATCTTTTATGTATGCTCAACTTTTGAAAACAATTATTTTTGAAAGCAGTTATTCCGATATTGATAAAAAAGATCTAATTGATTTTTGTCGTGCTCAATACGCAGATAACCCTCGTCAACTAGAACTGGTTGATGAATTGGAACGCGATTATCTTACTGTTCATTCGGCTATATGGTGGTACACGCTTGATGGTTTTCTCTATAAGATGTTGAATAAAGCCTTGCGCACATTAGATGTCGATACATTATTCCATTTAAGAGTCTACATCAAGGATCTGCATCGTCAATTGGTCATCCTCCATAAGGAGAAAGTTCTTGCCGATAAGCGCATTTACTACGAACGTTTAGGTATCAACGAGGAGCGCATTTATCAATTATTGGGAACGCATGATTCGGACAAATTATATGAAATTTGGGCGCCAACTCCTGAGGTTGTAAAATTAACAAAGAAGACAATGGAAAGTTTCGTCAAGCAGCAACTCCACCATCCACCAGATTCCAGTTCACAAAGATTGATGAACAAGTTCACTCTTTATCGAGGTCAGCAAATGCCGACATCTACCTTTGAGAATCTGATAGATAATTCTGGAAGTCTTCTATCAATTAACAGTTTTCTTTCAACAAGCGCGAATCGAAACCTGGCTGTAATGTTTGCTGGCGAGTCAGATGACGATGCTCAGCTTACTGCAGTTCTATTTTCCATTGAAATTGACGTAAATGAACGCAATAATCATCCGTATGCTAATATCAGTGAAATTAGTGCGTTTGGTGAAACAGAAAATGAGATCTTATTTTCAATAGGCACTGTATTTCGCATTGGTCGTGCAGAACGTGTTTCGAACAAACTTTGGTGTATTCATCTGACGCTAACAATCGACAATGATCCAAAGTTGAATCAACTAACCAGGCACATGGAGCAAACCATTCAAAACATGAATCCACTTTGTAAATTTGGTAAACTAACGGTCTTGCTTGGTCAATATAGTACAGGAGAACAATTTTACAAGAATGCGCTAAATTTGCCACTCGACGAAATCCAGCAAGCATCGATTCACTATGAACTAGGCTCGGTTCACGTTGAGCTTGGAAATATAGATGCTGCGCTAGACCATTATCAACAGAGTCTGGAAATTGAGCGCACATTCGCTGGATCAGACGACGATCCGCGTTTGGCTAAACTCTATGGTAGTATTGCTCGAGCTTATTATCGAAAAACTCGGCTTAATGAAGCACAAGAATATTTCACGCGAGCGCTTAATATTTTAATGGCTGTATCAGCAAACCCTGATCACTATTGTGTCGCTTCATTTTTGGATGACATTGGTATTATTTTGCACGATGAAGGTCAGTTGGAAGAGTCAACTAAATGTCATGAGGCCGCGTTGGGTATTCGTGTCGCTGCATTGCCACCGACGCATCCTAGCATTGCTACGTCAATGAATCATTGCGCTCGTTTGTATCATGCAACCGGTCAGTATGATCAAGCATTATCACTTTATGCGAGAGTAATCGAAATGCAACGACTCACTTTACCTTCCATCCATCCTTCAATGGCGATCGTGCTCAATGACATGGCTCAGACTCTATACACTTTAGAGCGATATACGGAAGCACTAACGAACAGTACACAAGCAGTCAACATTGACATGCAAACTCTGGGCCCAGAACATGTGCAAACTAAAGAGCATCAGCAAATATTGGAGATTATTTACAGCAGACATCAGTTAGCATGCTAAATTATATCTGTATTCACCAATAAAGAATATTTGTTCATTTCAAGAGAGATTGATTTAAATTTTTCTCGATTTGGGATGAGTATGAGTGTGGGTATAAATGGGAATAGAGGGAAAAAAGAAAACTTACACCCACAATCACACCCTCCTCATTTTTACAGCCATGTCGACAATGACGAACTACAAGCAATTTTTGGAGTTCTTATTACTTTAGACATCATCGAATCGATTTGAAATTACTACCGAACGACTCAACATTAAATTCTGCATCGAATATTTTATGACTTTGAAAAGTTTCATGAATGGACAGATTTGTGGTCTTATGCAGTCCTTCCTTTACCGATACGATTGAAACACATTTAAAGGAGAAAAGTGCGATAACGATCGAGATAGATCATTTCATCGTGCTCAAGGTTGCTGTAGTCTTGTTTCATGCAAACGAATGATATGAGTTCATATAGCGCAGCGGATATCGCTACAGTAAACGCTATGTCGTGATTTCCTAAATTTTCTCTCGTTTATTGTAGCAAAACGCTACGAAGCATGTATAACTTTATAAATTTTGATCAAAACGATTGAAATCAAAATCTCACCAAAGCTCATGATATCATTGGAATAAGAAGTATTTATTTGTCGAAGAAAAAAATCAAAAATCTGTTATGGTCAACTTTGCAGTTTGTCAGCCATTGTGTCTTGATATATTGCAACATGAGCAGAAAAATATGCTTAGTTTATTCAATTGATCTATTTAAAGACGAATATCGAAAACGTTTCACTTCGTACTTCGAGTGATTGGGCGTGTTGATGGTGATTGTTCTCTAACCTACTCGGAAAGTTCATGCTAACTTTTTGATGAGCATGTGATTGTGGGGATTCTATTCTTCTATTGATTCATGCTTCTACCCAAACTCTCATTCACAGTCTTACTGATGCTCACATCCACACCCGTCTCAAAAGAATATTGTCTATCGGTAAAAATCGAGTGTGAAGTGGACGGTTCGCGAAAAAAAAGGAAAATATCACTTGCCAATCAGAAATTTACTGTGCGTAGGGCATCAATCCGTTTCCTGATGTTCTATGAGAGAATATGGGTGGGTGTATGGGTGTGAGTATCGGCGGGTGTATGGGTGTGGGTATGAGTGGGTGTATGGGTGTTGGTGTGGCTATTCTCTTCTTCTGCACCCACATTCACCCCCACCCCCACCCACCCCACACCCTCACTCCTCGAATAAAAAGACCAACCCCTTCAATAATGTATAGCTTTTTGTGTGCGTATGTTTGTTCAGCAATAGTTCTGAATATAGAATTCAATGAGAAGCGATGAATAATGAGTAGATTGTATTCAGTCAAGGGTTAAACGAGTCGCATCGACGAGCGTTACTTGTTGTTAATATATGTATCTATTCATTGTCATTAAGTTGGAATTGTTTCATAAGATAATTAGACAATTCTCGAAGTTGTTGTTTTTGTTGTTCTTTATTGCTGCTGCTACTATCATCATCAGTAAGTTCACGTAAAGTCTTTTGATCAGGTTGTTCTTTTTGTTGTGCAATGGTTTTTTTCTGTTCACGTTTTTTGATTCCATAACCACAGATATTTTTACAAGCTTTAGCTGCATCTCTAATTGAGATTCCTTGACCAGTTTGGGGATTTCGTAATTTATCGACACATTCGATTTCACATTTAAGATCTTGATCAATTACATTATAACCACCTTGTCGTTTGTTCATCGCAGGTTTATCTTGATCAGAATCGTCTTCTTGAGTATCTTCATCTAAAATTATAATCTATTAAAAGATGATTCAATAACAAATTTTTCTCCTAACCTGATGCAACGGATCGTTCCATTTGTTCATTATCAAGATGATTTAAAATCGAACGAAGTTCTAATTCAAAATCATCTTCACTTTCTTCATCATTTGTTGCAACTTCACGTAATGATGGATAACTAACAACATGAGCAATTAATAGAAAAAATACTAAAGAAATCAAACATAAAAAAATACAAATGAGTGTTTGATAAGAATTTATAAAAGCAATTACCTGCAAATGCGATATGCATTGTATAACAAATAGAAAGAAACTAAATGAAAAAGAAGTGTAAGTGTAGTACTGATAATTTCCGTCGCTTTTTATAGGATTCTGTCTTTTTAAAGAATTAATCATATCAATTTCTTCTTTTCTTTTTTGTTCTGTTCTGAAGTATTTTTTCTCCCCAATGGCAATATTCGATAAAAAAAGCGCATTGAAAGAAGCGTTTATTCAGAATCACGATATAAAATGGTGAAAGTATATGAAGGTAAATAAAAAAAAAGTCCAAATCTATGTGTGCAAATATTCTGCTCTGTTATTTTATTGATATGAAAATATGAATAACAGAATGGGTACTGACAGGTAAATTATATTACTCATTTAATCGAAATATATCGAAGAAATGTGATGAAAAATTGTTAACCCTTTTTATTATCGAAAGCTATAAACAACTTAATTGAATATTTGCAATTAATATATATGTTGATTTCGACATTATTTTACAATAGCAAAACAACATAATGAAAGCTAGATAGAGCGTAAAATCGTTGATTATACAATTTAATGAAATGTTAAACTAAATATTTTTCAAGTACAAAAAAAAGAATCAGTATTGAAACAAATTGAAAATAATTATAGTTAGTGTTTGCTACTGTGTTTTTAATACACATTGTGGAAACACAACCAAGAAATCTTTTATGCAGTATTTATACAAGAATTATTAAGGTTTCGTTCTTTAACCGATTCAAGACGAATAAGGTCCATCGGTGGACCCCACTTTATTTTAACAAGAAACTTAATACAAGAAACACTTTTTTATCCTTAGGCGGAAGTTTGCACATAATGTGTGCTCTGCTCTGCCTTCGCTATTTTTAAAAATCATTTATTGCATGGCGTGATGCTTCTCATTAAAACAATCAAGACAATAAAATTTGTCACAATCAGAACGGAAAGCTTTTATTCTCTTTGTTGTTCCCTGTTTTTCTCGTAACAGCCAATATAACGTCTCCGGACATCGGAGTCAGATCCTTCCTTTTCTTCGAATTTGTGATCAGCTAGTTTACGCTTCAAATGACTTGTTGATTGTTGGCTTGGACCGGATTTCAGACTCTCGGATGGCATACTAAGAAGTAAATATCACACGAGATTCTCACGAAACTGTAGGATGGTTATATTGCCGGTTGCATAATTTTCCTAATATATCAAAGAGATATTCACTATTAATGTTCCAAATATTAATTCAAACGGCACCTTTTGATATCATTTTATGAATCATCTCAGACATGTGTAGTACGCCAATAGCTGATCTGATAAATCTGCACCTTGTCTTCCTTTATTGTAATCGAGTACAATTTGTGGCTTTATAATGTGCTCGTCAGATGAAGAAGTTTTTCTGATGTCCACGAGAGTAGTTGTATGGGATGGCTTGGTAAATATCATCAAAACATCTCTTTTATCTTTCCACTTGACCAACGTAACACCATCGCCGTTCTTAAGACCATAAATCTCATCTTTTTTGAGCTGTCTCTGAACAATTACTTTTCAAGATTCAACACGATTACTTCTCAATGTTTCAATGAGGTAGGTATCATTTCCCAAGAATCATTTCACAGGAGCAATACTCGTAAAAAAATTGTAAGCTACTACAGTTCGATAGCATCCGAAAAGATCTTCTAATAATTGCATGATGACTGTTTAAGGCTGTCTAAGATAAGTCGCTGGGTTCTGTTTTTCGTGTATATCCATTCGTGTCTGCCACTTTGTAGATTTGAACCCCAGAGGGTGTGGGTGTGGGTGTGAGTGTGAGCATCCTTTAAGAGATGATAGACACCCACACCCACACCCACACCCACACCCACACCCACACCCACACCCACACCCACACCCACACCGACACACCCAC